TACGGTCTTTCATGGACAAGAGAGCGAAATTTGCAAACAATATCCCACGACGGTTTGAACAGATTCCAGTGATGACAACTGATAGTGAAACGAAGGGCAGCTGTTTAAAAGCGGCATACTCGAGGCTGCCGCCGAATGCTGCGGTTTCAAGCCGGTTGTCCTTCCGCCTGGAGGTCAGAAACAAACTTCATGGGGAACACGAGAGTTACAAGTGACTATCACCGAGAAGAAGAAGTGGTTTGGAATCATGGAGACTTCAACTCGCACGCGTTATGTAGAAATTTGCAAGGCGGCAGCGAAAGCATGTGCGAATGCCAAAGCTGATTTCTGGGAGAAGTTTGGTGATGTATTGGAGTCGAATATCTAGGCGGCAAGTAAGGTATTCTGGCAGACCATTCGCAGCCTCTGAATTGAAGAAAGGTCGCATAAGAGTTCTGAAAGACAAGTCTCAAAGCCTTCTCATAGAGATTCTGAGGACATTTCTTGCCAATGAGAGTGAATGAGGACCGAGACAATGAGGACATTCTTTGGCGATGGATAGGGTACTTTGAGGAACTCCTTGACCTCGAGCAACCGCAAGAAAATTCGCCTGAAAAGCAGCAGGGAACGGATAATATTCACTCTTTAGACGATATCACACAAGATGTAAAAATGCTTAAATTTGAAAGGGCTGCTGAAATCGATGAAATGCGCCAAAGTCATGTAATTGAAAAACAAATTGCAGCTGACCCTACTGATCTTCTTCAACCGATCTGGGTTTTCCAGCTGAATAAGCTGACTTATTTAAATTAAATTTCTGACTTGCTCTATCTAAAAAATTTTTTTGCATTAGAATGCTTTTGGCGATTTCTGTAGTTCTTAACGTACATGGACTGTTTTTATCAAAATATTTTTATTTTGTTTCTATTAAGGAGCACCAGGCAGCCTAAAATTGTCGTACTGTGACAAATTGGCGCAGAAGTACGAAGGTTTCGTGCTGCTCAGCATGGGCAAACTGCTTGCTCAAGCGATATCTGAGCATCCGAATGATGAGGTATGGTCAAACGTTAGCGATATGATGAAAAACGGCGAATGGATAGAAAATGCAAGCTTCACTTGTAAATAGTTTCTCACTTTGTCATGGACATTGCATTTTAAGAGCGTATGTCAAGCGGTCTTGAGCGAAGCGCTGCTTCAAGTGAAGAATGCCTGGGGCTACATAATCGAAGGCTATCCACGAGATCTTTTGCAAATGCATGATTTGGACAAAATGGTAAGATTACACTAGGGGAACATGTGTATTTTAATATCGAGCATGTCCATATGCGCAAGTACACATTAAAGTTAGTAATATATTGTCGTGATTTTCTCAATTCCTGAATTACTTTTTTTTAAATCGGCGAGGAAGATTTGAGTTGTTTCTTCAAAGGTTACTGCTCAAGAAGAGTAACCACATCTCAGAAAACAACGTTCGCACAAGTCTGTTTGTAGCAACGCTTTGAATGTACAATGAATCCAGACGTTGCAAAAGGACTGTCGACATCCATCCATCAATCCATTTCTAAAGCCCATTATTCCTTTCAGGCTGCGAAAGCAGCAACATTTGAAGGCCTTAAAATTCTGCCGGTCAAACATATTTGATGGGTTGCAGTCAAAGTTTGACAATGCCACGTGCATATATTTGAGTCACATGCACCTCGGTCTGCGCGAGTGGCCGCTTACCAGGTGGCTTTACGTCGAAGTTATGTATGAATCTCTGCTTTGGTGTCCTGATCATATGCATAAATCATCACAGTTGTGATCTCTCGGTCTGGTCTGTATTGTTGTATTTGCTAAGATCCTCGCCTCGAGTCGTTTGCACAAGCAGAGCGTCTCTGGCTTGTGATGTCTGCTGTCTCCGCAACTTTTCAATACTTTTCTCTAAGACATCGACTGCTACAGTGAAGCAGGAAGTATTCTTCTCCAAAGCAAATCTAACTCTACCCTGTTCCTATGTTTTGCATGTTGGCCTCCTGACTGTTGTCTGACGCGTTTCGGCTCAGCACGAGAAGTTCATGGATTGGAGTAAATCATGCATTCTCTACCAGTTTTTCTAACAAGGCCAACTTCCTTTCCTTATCTCCAACTCTATTGAGGTCATGTGTCCGGAAGAGGACAGAGTCGTTTTTTACATGATCGTACCACTGAACCGTCATTATGTGCCGAAGCCAATGTTGCTGTACCCCATTCAACCGTTTTTAATGTTCCTTCATTTAAACAACTGTCTCGGTGCCGTACAGCAATACTGACCTGACAGAGGCAAGGTACAGGCAGATTTTCATGGGCAGAGTAACACAGCCCAAATAATGGACAGGTTTCCCAAAGCACTGGAAGTTATGACGATCCTCCTATTTGACTCTGGCTAGATGGTGCCATCAATGAGATGATGGAGTCGAGATACTTAAACTAATCAACCTCTTGAAGGGCTTCACTACTTGTTCCACTTGTAGATCAGCTGTACCCGATCGGTTCCTCGTAACTTTGATGTTCATACATTAAGGAAGAGATCAACATTCGCAGCTCTTGCATATGGACGCAGCCTTGACCTGATTCCCATACTACT